TTGAACTCTCCTTAGAAGGCTGCCCTGATTTTGGCAGCTGAACCTGTGAAAATCAGGTTCAGAGCTGTTTGCTAAATGCATCACCTACCCCGAAGGTATCGTTTTCAGCAGATGTGTTTCCTCTGAGCCAAAAGTAACCTTCCTCTCTGTCTCATCTTACCAAAGCTCTTAATGCAGAATCTTCCTCCACTCCACTCCATTCCACTCCACTCTCTCCCACCCCCTACTATGTCAGAAGCTCTCTATGAGTTGATGAATCCATGCACAGTGGTAGGTTATATTCATTTGTCTTCCTCTTCACTTCATTTATCACAATGAGGGCTCTGTTGTGGAGAATCCTGATGGAAAGCCTGCTTATTTTGCTGGCTGGCTGGAATGCAGCATTTCAATCAGCTGATTGCTTATTATTGCTACCTTGCCAGAAAAGCTGGCAGGACACAGAAGGGCACAGGAATCTTCATTTGATACTCCACTTGTCTAGAAGAGTGATAATAGCACTTGCATATCTGTCCCACTAGAGACGCTACAGAGCTGTGTTGCCAGACTTGTAAAGATAATCTGCTTTCAGCCTCACCTCCTTCAGTCCACTGGGAGTTTTGCACCATGTCCAATTCTGAATGAGATAAGAAGACATAAGCATGGCTGCTAAACATTAGGCTACTTTGTATACAGCCACCTCTTCTCCCCCAAGGTAAGGTAAGCCAAGATTTAATGCAGTGGAGAAGCTCCACCTCCTTTCCCAACCCAACACCCACCAAGTCCAAAAGCTCTAGGCAGATGCTTTGATGTTGCCCTTTGAATCTTACACACAGCAATTTAGGATCAGAAACTGGGCACAATGGGGTTGACTTCTAAGAAAACTGGCATAGGATTGCATTGTTATCATATTTCTGGTCTAGATCACTTTCACACATGTTCTCCAGCAGTAGGCAGCATGGTGGGGCAGTGCCACTCACCTGACCACTTCCAGCTGAGTTGTGGCTGTATGGGGAGAGGATGGGGTGAGGCAGTGGTGAGATTGCCATGAGGCAAATGCACCAGAGGAGCCAACCTGTCATTCCTGCTGGCCTGTTTGCACTGCACCACAAACCTTGCCTTTCCCACTCTTGGTGCACAGCAGTAGCTCAGCCAGAGGGAGTTCAGGTGAGTGGCACAGCCCACAATGCTGTCTGCAACTGGTGTTCACCTGTTTCACCTCATTTCCATATTCACTTGCCTTTTTGCAACATGATGCACTGTTGATTGCATCTGAGGGTTTCAAAAAGTGTTATCATTGCAGAAATGTATTCCTGAAACTTGGTTTGCAAGATAACAGGAACCGGGACACAGGGGAGAGATATGCGCTTCACAAGGGAGAATCAACGGGGAGAGATAGTTCTTAATCCTCCCATGTCTGACCAGTCTCTTTTGCCATTTCCCCACTGCCATTTTCCTTCAGCATGACTTTACTTTCAGTTTTGGAAGCTGGCATAAAAATCTATGTCAAGCAAAGCAGTCCCCCTCTGAAGGAAACGCAGGGCTGGGAATCCTGTGTTTCCTGCTGCAGATCCAGTTCCAAATAATTGCATCCATTCTCTGTGTTGGACACTGAATGTATTTGCACCTAATGCCAAATAAATAAATAACTCCCTGAGCTTCTCTCAAGAGGTATGACCCACTATGAGTTAGGCTGGCAATTTCTATGATTCATTGGATACCTATAGACACAGCATTCTAAGCACATCCAGGGGTGCAGTATACAAATAGCTTACCAACTGCCTTAAAAGTAATATTGGATAACAGATCTCTTTGTCATTTCAGCTGGGATCAAGAGAATTTATTGAAGGCACCATGCTGCTTCAGAGTTTTTCTTAGCATATAAAACAAATAGGTTCCACCCAGCAATGGACACTGCAGGTTTATCATCTTGTTGACAGGTAATTTTCTCCACTGAAAATATATCCCAGACTTATGAGGGCCCATTTTCTACTGAGCGGAATGAGGTTGTTTCACCAGTGGCTGCAAGGAACAGTATTTGGGGATTTGTTCCAAAAAGTCTCAGACCAATGAAAGTCCAATTGGTCATTAATATTATTGATATATTTTTGGATCAACTGTCCTGAATAAGCAAGAGTTCTAAGATCTACATCGAAGATAGATTCTAAGACACAGACAGATAAATTACAGCTCTGAACCATGGTAATATTTATTTTTGATAAATTAATCTGTAATTTGAATATGACATGGCCATTTGGGTTTTCTAATTCTTCAGGAAGACAGTGAACATGGCCCAGGAAAAAATATAACACACTATTAATAATAATTTATTATTTGTACCCTGCCCATCAGGCTGGGTTTCCCCAGACGCTCTGGGCGATGTCCAACAAAGATTAAAAATACATTAAAATGTCAAACATTAAAAAATTTCCCTAAACATGGTGCCTTCAGATGTCTTCTAAATGTCAGGTAGTTGTTTATCTCTTTGACATCTGATGGGAGGGCGTTCCACAGGGCGGGCCCCACAGAGAAGGCCCTCTGCTTGGTTCCCCGTAGCTTTGCTTCTCGCAGTGAAGGAACCGCCAGAAGGCCCTCAGCGCTGGACCTCAGTGTCCGGGCAGAATGATGGGGGTGGAGACGCTTCTTCAGGTATACTGGGCCAAGGCCGTTTAGGGCTTTAAAGGTCAGCACCAACACTTTGAATTGTGCTCGGAAATGTACTGGGAGCAAATGTAGGTCTTTCAGGACTGGTGTTATATGGTCTCGGTGGCTTCTCCCAGTCAGCAGTCTAGCTGCCGCATTCTGGATTAGTTGTAGTTTCTGGGTCACCTTCAAAGGTAGCCCCACGTAGAGCACATTGCAGTAGTCCAAGCAGGAGATAACTAGAACATGCACCACTCTAGCCAGGTGCTCTGGTTATTAAGCACACATTCAAAGCCCTACCTCCTTTCGACTTTGTTCCTCAGTAGATTATTTGTTTGTGTGTAGGGTTGCACTGAATAATCATGTGTTTTGATTTGGGCGTGCATGAAAGTAATGCTTTTGAGTGGGGGTGGGGTGTGCAGTTTTCCTCAGACCCCCCCCCCCCCCATTTGCTGCTTTTACCTTTTGGCTGCAAATAGTGATATTAGCCAGTTGTGGATTGTTCAATGTGGAGAGCAAAGAGGAATGTACATGAATTCACTTCCAAATTTGGCCAGACCCAATTCAAATTAGCCTGTGGCCCATTCACCATCATAAAGATGCACAAACAGTATGTGATTCTAGGTCCTATTTCCATTTGCTAGCTTTGCCCAGGCCAGAGCTGTTTGTGGAGCTGGGAGAGGCACTTAGGATAGATGGTTTTCTCTTCCTCTGAGACCAGTACCCAGCTCAGGCTCTCTTCAGTCTGGAGCTTCAGTTATTGGACAAAGAGGAAGAGGAGCCGGAAGCTGCAAAATTGGGTAGTCACCCACTACCACCAGTACCTCAGAGAATGGCAGCTGCAACCAGCACCATCCACAGAGTGCTGCCCAGGGTCCTGACAGCCTCTGCCCTGTCTGTTGTTATCCTATCTTGACTGATGTGCCCCTACATAACTAGTTAGTGCTTTTGCAGCAGTCTCCTTCCTCAGAATTCTGATAGGAAAGGACATTTGCCCCCTTTCAAAAAGGCCCCCTGAAAACCTGTTCCATGTGCATTGGGTTGGGGGGGGTGGGATTCATCTGCAGCGTTTTGCATTATGAATTTTCCAGAAAGTCTCTATAAAAACTAGAGTCACTTTAAATTGGAAAATGAAAAAAGAAAAGCAGCCATTCCTTTCTAATTTTCGTTGGGAGCAAAAAAAATAGCCAAGCCAACTGAGTGTTTGCATTAAACCTGAATTTCAGTTGACTGACACTAACATGGGGCCAAATCCTGTGATATTCATAAGGCAATTTGCCAGGGCTCCTAAGGCAAAACTCGAAATCTCTCCAGAGGAGGAATTAGTTGAGGTGCCTTTTCTTCTAGGTATTGGTTTAGAAGCAGGGAATAGGACTTGTGTTCCTCAATCTCCAAGTTAGAACTTTTAAAATGGTGGCCTAACACATAAGGAAAGTTCTGATCCCAGTTGGGGCACATTCATAATCTCAGTTTATTATCATATGAAATGTATACTTGATCCAACTATAGTAAGCTAGAATACTTCTGGATGCATTAGTAAGATTGGGGAACCTCTTCTGGTCACTGTGCCTTTAAAATAAAACTCAGCACCATCCCAGTGCAGGAATGTGAATTTTGATTATATTTCATAATGAGTTTTGAAAAAGATCTGGAGCCAAATTATAGGTAACAAAAAGCTGGGGAGATAAATGACCCAAACAAGAAATTAAATTGGCTTTTGTGCAATTGGTTGCATAGTGAAGCCTCGTTAATACATTTTGCAGAACGACGGGCCATTTGTCATCTGAACCTTATTCTTAGGGAAAAAATCATTTCCTCCTCTTTATTTTGTTCAAAACTCAGTTTCTCTGGGCCAGATCCTCAGTTTCAACATGCTGCTTTACAACCACCAAAGAACATGCTACTTTAGTTTTAATTATGTTTTAAACTGTAAGTAGCTTTTGAGTTGAAATTTATGCTGGTACAAAAAAATATTTTAAGGAAACCTAATTGTTTTTAAAACTGTGCTAATATTAGTCCTCTTATTATCACCACTTATCGTTTTATTTTCTTGTTCTTGGGACTGAGGCCTGCCCCTTCTTTGTTTTGGCAAAATGAAATCTTTTTCTTTTGTATTTCCATAATTTCCCTTCCCTTCTTGCTCTGACATAAATTGCCCATAAGCTATTACCATCCTCCCTCTTGGAGTATTCTCTCTCCCTCGTGTTCCTACCTTCATTCTGTCTGAATCAATGGTGGCAAATTTGCTTTATGACAACTTAGACAAACCTATGATGGATCAGAGAGGGCTTCAAAGTAGGCCGAAGCCTGCTAAAGTCAAGAGCACCTGACACGTTTGTTAAAGACCTCATTGACCTCTGACCCTCAGGTTGCTTTAGTATTGATCTTTAGGGTCTTGGGCTCAATTGCACTGGAACAGCATGCTTGGCAGGGAGAGGAGAACTTTGTAATGGGAATGGATCCATGGGGAATGATTTAGAGCAAGGTAACTTTAAGGCTTGTTGTGAAAGTTAAGCAGTAATTGAGTTTGTGGATGTGGAGCTCTTTCAGATGGGTATAGTGCCTGTATTCATAAGCAGCTTTTGGAAAAGCTTCAGTGAGAGGATTGTCTAATGGATACCAAACACAAATGAAAATAGGCTTACAACAACAACAACAACAACAACAACAACAACAACAACTACTTATTGGTAAACTCTCTTGTGAACCTTTTAGTGAAATGTTGTATAAAAATGGTTTCAACAAATAAGTAAAGATGATTTGCGTAATATCTCCAAAGGACAAATCTTAAAGCTCAGATCAATAATATATGAACACTTTCCACATCAACACCTTCCATGGATCTTCTGGGAAAGTTCTAAGGCAAATACTCAGCCCATGTGGGCATGTTGGTTCTCCTGTGTGAATTGCACATGTGCCATAGAACATTTCCCTGTAGCTAAATAGTCCAGCAGAAGAGTGGCATGAGTGGGCATCTGAGACACATGAGGGTTCCCTTAAATATGGCATGTGATTGGACAGCAAAACCTAAGTCTCATGTACAACCTCGTTATCTTGCAATGATATTTAACTAGGAGGGAGTCCATGGCAGACAACAGAACTGAAACAGGGTTTTTGTCAAATTTGAAACTGAAAATTCACCTGTGGAATCATACTTTGAGCTTGAGCACTGAAATTTAGAGGATTAGATAATTCATTTGTGCTTCAACTCCAGCTGGTAGTTTTATCCGTATCTGATATAATACTACATTATGATAAAAACTAGCAAAGGTGAGAGGTGCTTTAGAGCACATTAGTCTTTAAGAGCCAATAGGCACAGATGCATTAGACTGCTTCATCCCTGTCTAATATTTATTAAGCCAAAAAAGGGGGGGGGAGCCTTGGTGTTATGGCAACTCAATACAGCTCCTGCTATTAAACCTTTACTCAGAGGTGGGGAACAGCCAGCCAGGTTTGTGTGTGTTTATATATGCGGATTATAAAGTGTGGGGATTAGTATAGAGTGATTACAGCATTTCAACTGTATATTAAGTGCCTGAAACAATATCCAAGCAGTCAAGAGTGCTGTATGCATTATGGTTGAGTGTCATAGCTGACATTTCTAATATCCATTATTCAAAAATTGATTCCATGCCTGACTATCATGCATCATCCAGCCACAATATAGGACAAGTAATACATGGCAGCACCTCAATCTCGGCTAAGAGCTTTGCAAACATTATCTAGTTCATCCTGCCCAAGTTTAATGTCTCTTCAGTGAATCAGGTAAGTGTAGCACCACACTTTAGGGATGACAGCAGAAGTCAGGTGCTTTTTTCCCTCATGCCTAACCTTTATAAATGCATTAGTGCTGCGATTAAGAACTTCTTTCACTTTTGTTTCATGCCTTGTGATAACAGCGGGGCAGTGGTTAGAAGGATTCCTAGGCATTTGGAGGCAACGGTATAAGGCTTCCCTGTCTTCCCACATTGCCCTTCAGACCAGCTCCATATCCACCTGTACCCTCCTCTGAATTCCATTGTCCTCTCCAGTCCTTCTTTTGCTCTGCCATGGTCCATAGCATCCTGCCTAGAGCACAGGTAGCCAACTCTAGAAGCCCCATCTTCCCTGGTCACTGGCTATGCAGGCTGAGGCTGAAGGGAGTTGAACAACATGTGGAAATCATATTTGCTTACCTGGTCTACAGTATACTGTAGTCCCTATCTTGCTTTGCACCTCAAGGATGAAACTTGCAGCAGCAGTGGGATAAATACCCTGGGCAGATGTTGCATTTGTCCAAGAATGGGACCATTTCTGGAATGAATAGTGCTCAACTGCTCTGTAATAGTAAAAAATCAGTTCCACCATTGTTGTTGTTGTTGCTGCTGCAGTTGCTATATTCCACTTTTTGCTAATAGTAAGCACAAAGCTTCTTTCAAGTTAAAAACAAGTCTCATCCATTGTATGCGATGTGACCTATAACTCAGCATTGTATGCTGCTTTCACAGTGATTCATTTATTACAAGCATTGCTGGAATATTCCCTCTAAGCCACCATGTATTGGTGAAATAAATACTACGTTAGTATGACTATTGGTTTGATTGATAAGCTAGTAATGAGTAATAACGTTGAATCAATATGAATGAACAAGACATTATCACTTTATCATGATACACACAATATACACACAATACGCACAATATTTCCCTACTTTGGATGTATGAGGTTTTTTTTTTTGAAAACTCAGAGTGAGTCTGGTCCAAACAGTAAGTTACATGGAGAGAGCTGATGCGTTAGAATTGGGCTGGGAAGATGAATTGAAATCTCAGCTATGAACTTTTTTGCTTGACTGGCTGAGTCATTATTCCTCCTGGGCTTCAGCTGCTTGTTTGTAGAATGGTAAGAGTAGTGCATAGGAGCTTAGGAAGCTGGCTTATACCAAGTAAGACCATTGGCCCATCTAACACAGTATTGTCTTCACTGATTGGCAGTGGCTGTCCAGGGTTTCAGGCAGCGAGTCATTCCAAGCCCTATCTGGAGACCCTCAAGGATTGAACCCGGGACCTTCTGAGTGCAAAGCAAATGCTCTACCATTGAGCTAGAGCCCTTTCCCAACACTAATCAATAGCGTAAGACTGTTGACAAGATCACTGAGATAAGGGCTGTAGAGCCAAAATTGCATTACACTTACTATGGAGTAAGTCCTCTTGAACTCATTGAAACAGGATGAATAGGATTAGGCTATTTTGCCTAGCTAAAGTGTTTAAATCATGATTACTAGCAGTTATTATTGCTTCTACAGGCAAATAGATCCCTTGATTCACTTCTATACAAAGTTTAGATATTTGTGCTTCCTTGATTTTCATTTTTCTGGGTGTATGGAATTCTCTGACACAATAACTCTGTATTCCTCAATGTGACCCTTTTCTGCTACCACCCATTCTCAGAATACTTTCGAAACCTCCCAGTAGGTTGATATATAATAGGCTTAGGTGTGAGATCAACAAGCAAGCTCTAAAATAATGCTGTGTGGCCTCTCATGGGGTGTATCCACTAAATTGGGTTAAAGGGGGAATAAACCTTACCCTCCAATCTGACACATGCCTCCTAGGCTAAAGCAAACCCCATTGAAGTAATTTGGAAAGTCTTCTAAGCAAAGATGCTTAGGATCAGGCTGGACGTCTTAACAGAGGTTTGACACCCTTTGCAATTTGTTTGAAAATCTTTTTCTCCCATCCAGTCCTCCCACTCCCAGCCTGACTTGGTTATAATACAACTGAATAATGTCCTTGGGTCTGAGATTCCATTTCAGTTTTAAAATAATGTTAAGGTCGTCTAAAAAAAAAAAAAGATAAACTTGAAAGCAACCTGCCCCTTTAAGAAAGGATTGGTCTTAATCTATTTCCAGCGTACAAGAGATCAGCTCAGGATTGCTGGGACACTTCCACTGACACAAATCTACATAATCGTTTTAAAATTCTCACCATTTCTTCCGATTATTCTCTTTCTGTCACTTTAGGAAGCTCTAAAACTGATTTTCTCTCCGTAATCTTCCAGTATTGCTTAGCACCCAAATCTCTAATATTTTAAGAAGATTATTTCATTTATAATTGATTGAGTGTATTTGCCAGATTGGTACTTCAAAGATGTTGTGCTTTTTTAAAAAAAAAAAAAAAGTAGGGGGCTCAGGTAGCACAGTATTACCCTGTTGTGCAACCCCGGCCTGTCTCCCTACCCCACCGAAGTTTCGCATCTCTCCCCATCGCACGGTCTATGCATTTATTTACATTATCAGCTGAGCAGCTGAAAAAGCTTGCTGAGGATAAAAAGCAAGCAGGGATGACTCAAAATAGCAAATCAGGCAAAGAGTTACTTTAATTGTCACCTACTGGCAAAGCAGAAACCCCTTTGGTTCCTTCTCTAGTGTGCTTTTTCACGGCACAGTGCTTCTCCCTCAGTGTCAAGGCTCTTTCTAACAATGATTGGAATTAAAGAATCTTCTAGCGATATTTTTGACAACTTCAGTACTTAATGAAAGTTGGGAGACCTTGAACAAAGCTCATCTGGCCTAGGTGAATATGCGAAGGGGCTGCAACGAAATGTTGCCGTGTGGAAATCTCCTGTTCAGTCTTCCAGCTTTTATTCAGAGTATGTGACTCCATTTCCCCTCCCCTATCCCACTCCCAGCTTTTTATCCCTCCCAACAGCCAGTAATCATGGGCAGCATATTTAGTCCTCGTTGATTGTGGTTGTTTTTATGTTGCCCTTGTTTTCTCCTCTGAGATTTTACCCCTAAAGTTTTCATATGTTTCTCCAAAATAAATCCTCGGGACTTCTCTGAGCCTGCTGATGCCTTTCTCTTGTGAATGGACGGTGCTTGTTTTGGCTACGTAACGACCACCGCTTTGAGTATGTGTTTGACGTCCTTGGGCATGGGGAAGATGGAGGAGTCATTCTGGCTTTTAGCTGTTGCATCTGATACATAGGCCTCTAATGATAAATGTTGGGTCCTGAAGAAGACAATTCCCATGCCCCCCCCTTGTCTTTCAAAGAGTTCCAGGGCAGCTTCTTTCAAAGAGTTGTCATGGAGCCAGTAACAGAGTGGCATATCACCTCCCACAGCCCTTCTGTTTTATAAGTCCTTCTTCCGCCACACACCCATTTTTGCTTTGTGAGATGAACGGTGGTGTAGTGGGGTGGGGAATGCAGGTGAGTGCAGCGCCAATACTTTTTTCAGCGTAGAAATGATGACATCATCTGCCCGAGGGCCAGCGTCATTGTCAAGCCCTCCTTGCTCTGGCAAGCAAATGAGATGAGCTGTCCCAAGTGTGTATATTATATTCTTCCATTTCTAGAAAACATTTCATCGGTAAAGATCACAGTGTGATTCATAATATGTCATAAAGTAATAAAAGACAATATTATTTGTGACAGATTAACGTAGAGAAGGTGAAAGAACGAGAAAAATAATCAAGTAGAGGTTGGGTACTTACCCCCTTTCCTTTGATAGGGTTCCAACTTCAAGATAGCAATTAAAATGGTAAAGCTTCTTTGCTAATTTGTTTGTGTCTCTAATTAAAAGTTAAAGGTTGCATTTCAGTTGGCTTTATAAGTTGAACCTATACAATCAGAAGCAAGCACTGCTGAGTTCAATGGAACTCACTCCCAGGAAACTACATCCAGTGGTACCTTGGGTTATATACGCTTCAGGTTGCATACGCTTCAGGTTACACACTCCGCTAACCCAGAAATAGTGCTTCAGGTTAAGAACTTTGTTTCAGGATGAGAACAGAAATCGGGTTTCGGCAGTGCGATGACAGCAGGAGGCCCCATTAGCTAAAGTGGTGCTTCAGGTTAAGAACAGTTTCAGGTTAAGAATGGACCTCTGGAATGAATTAAGTACTTAACCCGAGGTACCACTGTATAGGTTTGATTCTAATAAATGATGAATTATGCTATGTGTTGCTGCTCTCTGGTGTGTGTGTTATATATAATGGATCCTTGTTCACATAACTAGTTCTGTTGTGATCCCTTGTGGATTCTCCTTCATGGAAAGTGGTAATGTAGACAGAGGACACTACAGATACAGATTCATTTTATTATAAATAAATATGTACCGGTACCTTGCACAGCCACCTTGGTGGACCTGCAACTGCTGTCCTTGCTCCTGTGGCCCAGAATCAGTGTCCAGGGTGAGGGCACGGGATCAGTTCTGCAGCTCCAATGACACTGCTTAGCTCCTGACAGTCCTGCTTCTGTGTGTCACATTCCTCCAGGGGTTTGCCTGCTGCAATGGGCAACCTTCCTCCTACCTAGGGGCACCCCACATGTGTTGCTGTTTCAGGACAGTCCACTGTGCTTTATCAAGAAATTCCTCATTTTGCCCAGTAGCTCAAAGTGTGGATAGGCAAGTTGCTTTACCTTGTCTTCCAGCAAGTCAGCAAGCTTGCACTTGCTGCAGGTGTAGCTTTGCACATTCTCAGGCAGGAAGACAAACAGAGCACAGGGGCTGCAGGTCCTGGAGCAGATCCCTTGCTGTCCATGTCTCTTGGTTCTACATACACCGTGAGATAGCACTCCAGGCCTCCCCCTCAAAACGCCCTCACAAACACCTCTGCTTCATATTACTTGCCGGAACAATGATGAATTATTGTTGCTCCTATTTCCCAGTTGGATAACGATACGATACGATATGATATCTTTATTGTCATTGTCCCATGCAGAACAATGAAATTGAAAAACAACATAAAACTACATAAAAACTACATAAAACTACATAAAAACTACATAAAACTACATAAAAACAACTACATAAAACTACTACAAAACTACATAAAACTACATAAAAACTACATAAAACATTCAAAAACCCCCTAAAAACTTGTTATAAAAACGAGAGGTTATAAACTGAGGTACTTGGTCTAACTTTGCCACTTTGCCTGCTGGATTTTAAACATAGTTTGGATATAGTTTGTTGAGGCTCTTGCTCACGTGATTACATGATACATATATGTCTATTCCTAGGATTATCAGTGCAGAAACCTACAAGATGATGGAAGGATCACATCTGTGAAAAACTGAAATACAACACTGAATTACGATTCACATTATTGCCATATGTGATTATATACTTGGGCATGCCAACTGTACTTTTGGAAACAGATAATTAACAGCAAAATATCCTATGCGTGGGACACGGGTGGCACTGTGGGTTAAACCACAGAGCCTAGGACTTGCTGATCAGAAGGTCGGTGGTTTGAATCCCCGCAACGGGGTGAGCTCCCGTTGCTTAGTCCCTGCTCCTGCCAACCTAGCAGTTCGAAAGCACGTCAAAGTGCAAGTAGATAAATAGGTACCGCTCTGGCGGGAAGGTAAACAGCGTTTCCGTGCGCTGCTCTGGTTTGCCAGAAGCAGCTCAGTCATGCTGGCCACATGACCCGGAAGCTGTACTCCGGCTCCCTCGGCCAGTAAAGCGAGATGAGCACCGCAACCCCAGAGTCGGCCACGACTGGACCTAATGGTCAGGGGTCCCTTTACCTTTACCTTTATCCTATGCATGCTTCAGTCCATTGAATTGAATGGATATACAGGTATATACAAATCATAAGCACTGGGCTTTATTCTCCTGACTTCTTAATTTGCATCCATAAAAAGGTATCAGTAGCTGTTTCAGTGTTTCCTACTAAACTAAAGCTATGCTTAGAGTTTCACAACTCCTGGAACTTTGCTCCACTCCTACCTTTGTTCAGTATATGAGGTTCACTGAGTCCCCCACATTTATCACACTGGCACAAGGTTTTTACCACTAGGCATGATGAGTGACCACCCAAAACATTCACGTAATGTATTTCCAAAGCTGAAAGGAAATGCAAGATGTGTAAGTTTTATTAGATGCAATAGTCTGGACAATTTTTGCTCTATAGATCTCATAAAATGAATTAAGCATTAAGGGTGACACAGATCATACCTCTTATTCCTTTGAAGTGCAAAGTTTTGCATGCTACAAGAGGGAGACTACCTATGCAATACCTTTGGAAGCAGTGAACAATTTGTAACTGTTGTATGCCATATCTAGTTCTGTTTTAATTTTTTCTCCCATTTTTTAAGCAATTATCCGTCAGTTAATGAGAAAATAAATTGCATTAGAAAATTGACAAAGGGAAGATAAATTTTCAGTGAACTTATGGCTGCAGAGTTCCCCGCCCCCCATGCTTACCTTATTTTTGAGGTGGCTGAAGGATGTATGTGAATGTCTTTTTGTTTCATACTTCAAATCATCTTACCACTGCTCTTCACATTGCAGCCTCCCAGGGTGCTTCAATCAAGACTTAGGCTAGGGGAATATATCGTGATATAACTCCTCCCACAAGGCTTCTTCAGATCTGAAGGTGTGGGCAGCCAGGGACACTGTGGAGAGCTAGATAAATGTTCACAGGAAAGGAATAAAAAAATCAAACCCAGTTAACTTGAAGCCCTGCACCCACAGAAATTATACAGTACCCTGAGAATAAGACAGGAAAATTGAAGCCTCTTTTGCAGTGCAAGAAAATATTTGAGAAACTGGAGGTGAAGTTTCAGCATAGCACCAGCCATACCAAGAAGTCCTTGCTGTGTTTACTTATAGATAGCTGCTATTCTTTTTCCAAGTGATATTTAAAGGATATTCATTAGCAATGTAGTCTACCATCAGTTTGTAAAATAACAGGTGCTAGGATTCAAGTGTGCCTGAAAATCACATTTATGGTCCAGAAGCCTTTTCCCTTCATGACAGATGTGTTGGAGAAATCTTTAGATACACTGTGGTGCAAGGATAGTGTTCTCGAAGCTACCAGCATGAGTCTGACCAAACTGCGGGAGGCAGTGGAAGACAGGAGTGCCTGCCGTGCTCTGGTCCATGGGATCATGAAGAGTCGGACAAGACTAAATGACTAAACAACAACAACAATGTGGTGCAAGGAAAACATTTTGCCCATGTCCATAGCATGCTGCTGTTCAATCTTGCATCACCATCTCCAATGCCTCAGGTCAGAACAGGAGGGGCAGGAGTTGGCATGCCCAAGTATATAATCACATATGGCCAACGATTTTGAGAGGGCCTACAGAGGCAAAGTGAGAGCGTGCATCCCTTTAACATCCTTGGTCAAAAGTTGCTCCAACAGAAAACAGTCCTTCATCCTACTTTGTCCCTCATTTGCTATGATTCAGATTTCATCCAGAAATGTAACCCCGAGGCACCTTTCCTCACTTCCTCTTTCACTTATCTGAACCAAAAGTGCTGACATAAGCGAGAAGATTCCCTTTCATTTTAGTCAGCTTTGAAGATCACTGACCCACAGTCTGTTTGCCTGCAATGCTCAGATGTGTTTGAATTGAAAATACAGGCCAGACATGCATTTGCTCTGTATCCATTGTTCCACAGTTAGCTGGGAACTGCATTTCATTACATCATCCTTCTAGGAACACAAGAACAAAGAAGGACCCGGATGGATCAGACCAAAAGTCCACCTAGTCCAGCATCCTGCCCTCCCACTAACCAACGAGATGCTTATTAGAAGGCTGAAAGAGCACTTTCTCCACTTCTGATTAGCAGAAGGGCATGCTCACTGCCTCTGACACTGGATGTAATTCATATCTATTAAGGCTGTGTACAAGCCTCCCAAAGTAATTTGGGGCCTGATGCAGTGCTTTGGAACAACCCTGATCTGATCCAGGATGACCTGACCCAAATCCAGTCCTCAAACCTACCCAGGCACAGCCATGAAGCCAGGGGGGAGGATGGCATGGCCAAGAGGCAAGGTGAGGCCACTGCCTTGGGATGCAGGATCCACAGGGGTAGCAGATCCCAATGAAGATCTTCATTCCACCCACTCCCCAACCCCTTGTTCCTGTTGTAGATCTTCACTTACCCCTTCTTCCCCGGTGGGGAAGGTGGTGGCATTTTATGGTTTGCCTCAGATGCACAAATGTATTGGGCCGGCCTGGGGGTGGGAGAAGAGGCCTGCCTCTCCTTCTCCACCTCCCAACCATATGTTTAATTAAACATGTGGTTGAGAGGTAGCCCCATGCAGGATGCACACACTGTTAGAATTCCTGCTCCATGATTGCAGTCATAGGACTGTTGTCTTTCACATGATGGTATGTGTTTTGACTCCACAGAGTGGGAAATGACGGAGACAGGATGTTTGTGTTACTGTGTTCCATGAAGTGAGACTATTGTCCTTTGTTCTTTTTCTCTTTGCTGCCTGATGCTAGAGAGAGAGGGAGCCATGTTGCAGTGCTCTGTGTGTGTTTATATCTAAATAAAGTAGATTAGCCAAAATGCTGAGTTGCTGAGGTCTGTTACGCAAAGCTGCAAAGACTCTGCGGATTCCTAAGTGTGCCAGTGTTGGTTGGCATCGGTCGCTGTGATGTTCGGGCAGAAGAAAGCTTTTGAAGCTCCTGAATGATTGACCACGAGGGAGGGAACATGCCAGTTGGGCATGTTTCTCTGCTAGGGTCCTACTCGAGTGTAGGCTGAACTTCTGATGCACACATCTCCTCACCCCCTGCCTTCCTTGCACCAGATTCAACCCAGGTCAGTCTGGGACTGATTGAACCTGATCCACACAAATCCCAGGTCAAATCAAATTGGCCTGATTTAGTTCAGGATCTGGGATCTGGCTAGCTCCAGGGCACAGCCTGAATACCCATCCTGGTTAGTATTCACTGACAGCCTTATCCTTTGTGAATTTGGATGAAGAGATTTGTATGGAAACTTTTCCTGTTCCACCCACCCACAAATAATTCAGGTGCATCTATGGAGGGTTTGTGGCTGTTGTTTTGGTCAATGTTGCATAATATCAACATTGGCTCCATGCTTGCCTTCCTGCTGCCCTTATCTGATGGCCAAATATGCAGGGGACCAAGGAAGTGGGTAGGGGTGAGGTGTGCATGGATGGAGAGGATTAGACGTGGCAAACAAGCCAATCCGTCTGCTCAAACAATCCATGTGCTCATACCTTTAGAAGAGTCACTGACGGCACAACTTGGTTAGCTTAAAAATGAATGCAGCAACAAGTAAACAATTAAACAAACAGATAAGAGATTGACACACAATTGGTTAAAATAGATAAATACCCTAGAGATTTTGGTGAGTTGAGTTGTAAATTAGCAACTGTCAGATCTATGCTAGCCTATGAACCTATTAAATGCTGCCCGCTGCAAGAAGAGACTGATCTCAGGGAGTATGAAAACCCAGTGCTAAATTAATCAGATACAAGTGGTCCTATGAATATTAGAAACAGTTGTGGGACAAGCAAAAAGATACAGATTTATGTTTTCAAACCCATCCTAAAAAATAGTCCATCCTAAAAAATAGTCCAATTGACACATCTGTGTGTTTAAGTATTAAAGTAGGTGTATTTGAATTTTGCATCCATGGGGAAATATTGGAACGGTCTCTTTCTTTAAAAGAAGTAGCTATTTTCCATTTTCAAAGAACGAGTGTGAGGGAAGATCACCTAAAAGAGGTAGATAATGATTTGCCAGCCACACCTTCTGTTACAGTAAAATAAGCAATGCTTGAAAGAGACATGGAAACAGCCTTCTTCAAATCCAATTCAGGGATTTGGAATCCCCACTAAACGCTTAATTAATTTTTGATTAGCTTGAGAACCCATTAAACAGACTGATTCTTCTAGCTTTATAAAGGATGGCAGCATGCTGCTTTAATTAAATTAATACTAAAAGATGTTCATTTTCAAATCCTTATGTTGGTTATTTGAGAAAAAATCATTCCATTTCATTTCCTCTAAGAGGTTTACCATGTTCTTTTCTCCAATACACTTCAAATATCTTTCTTTTCACATTATTCTGTTTGGGATGCCTTTGCCACTGCCTTCACGCATAGTAAGCCAATTCACAGATTCATAGGGACCGTGAAGCTCAGATGCATCCTCCGAGGTCATCAAGGCTGACCCCCACCAGCTCTTGCACCACACTTTTCTCTGAACTTTCTCCTTTGATAACAATATTCAGACATTTCCTCGATTATGGGTATCTACATGCATCACATCTGAAAGATTCTCCTCCAAGCAATTGCTAAACCCATATTCTGAGTTAGATTTGATAGGTCAACATTTCCGCGAATAAGAGGCACAGGGTCTTGGCAAAGATGTGAATGTTTTGAAATGAGACATATGCTACAAAATATGAGAATTAACGCAAACAAAGACTCATTCTGTAATCCTGGGTTCAGCTGCCATCACTAACTATCTCTTTATATTTTACAGTAGTTTGATCAGAGGTCTGGGATACAACAAGAGTGAGAGAAATATGAAACTCACTTGTTTCTTGAGGCACTCAACTTCTCACTTGCCAGTGAAAATCAGTGCTCCCATCTGAATAATTGCACCCTTGGGTCTGTTTCTTGGTCACAGTAGGGTGTGACAGACCGCTGGAATGTCTACCTTAAAGCTCTAAGCTGGAGGGAAAACCAGAAAACCTGGGGGCAAGAGAGAAATGAAATGGAGTATTCTGAAAGTGGACATACCTACTGGCTAGAACCCTGAACAGGAGTACTCAATTTTTCTTCAAGTCCCACTTCTGATTTTTATTATCCAATTTATTTAGTTCCAGTACATATTAAATATTTTGACTTCTTCCTCCGATATTGGAATTGGTATTTATTATGTATTATAGCCATGCATTTTTAATATAAAAAATTGCATATTTTATTGTTGGAGTACAAGGAGTCCACTCTACATTCCAAGTCAGTAAGGAATCTTGTTGTAATAAGTTGTCCTTTACAAGTTTGCAGTGCCATATGATTAAAAGAATGTGCTGTTGAAAAAGCATTCAGGAACAGTAACCTTTCCCCACCCCATGCTAAACTCTCTTCCTCTGGTTTCTAACGGCCTTCTCTCTTTGGAGGAGCGTAACAATGATTCTTCTATTAAATTAGCAGATGTTTTGGCTATAGAGGATTGGCTTTACACTGCTATTAATATGCCTTCTGGACCCCTATGCCGCCCTTATGCTTCAGAGCTGGGCTAAAGCTATCCTCTCAGGAGGTAAATTAATCCCAACTCCCAAGACCATATTAAATTCCTTTTTATTAAAAGAAGAGGGGATGGCTCATCTTGAAAGCTATGCTGAGGCTTAAACCATCTGTAGGCTATCTGCAAGCATTCAGGTTGTGGAAGAATGGTGTCAGGTTGGCAGGGGAACTAGAGCAGACCTGGCCAGTTCTGGTTGTCTAAAGGTTCAGCTCTGAAGGCCAGCTGTGTGATCTGGACTGTGTTTGAAGGTCTGAATTGCGAGGCAGTAGCAGATGGCATGCTGCAGCTGTGCTGCTCCTCTGACCTCTCTCTGGCTGAGTATAATGGGACAGAGACAAGTAAGGGTGAGGCAGCACTGAGGTTGACATGGTGCAAATGCACTGGCAGAGCCTTTCCAGTGCTCCTGCCAGCATGTTTGCACCATGCTGCTCCTTGTTCCTCTCCCTTTCTGCAGCAGGGACTCAGCTGGTGGGGAGGGTCAGGTGAGCGGCACAGCTCCACAAAGCCATCCACAACTGGCGGGAAGCATTGCAGATGCACAGAACACTGGGAAATGTTCATTATGAAATGGGTTGTTGAATGGCTGTGGCAACCTTCACATATGCCCCTCCCGCACCCCCAGACACATGCACAGACCATAAACATCCACCACCACAAACAACTGTAACCAGTCTTCCTTTGCCACCGTTTGAAGGGTCTCTCAGTAAAATAGCATCACAACTATTCTGGGCTGTCAGTGTGAACATTCCTCATGTACATCACTCAGAGGTTAAAGCCGTCTTGGTGGTGTTTATCCCATTATGAAACCTTTGCTGGAATCTGACACCTTCACCCTAAATGCTTGTGGCAACTGTCTCCATGAGCAGAGAAACTGAAGTTAAGTCCAACAAGAATGAATTGTGTGTTTGTTCCAGGATAGAGATGGATTAAGGATTAGGACACATGTGCTGCAGAAAAAGGGCTCCTGCTGTAGTTTGATTATCTGAGAAAATACTTGGTAGAAAATGAGACTCGGGGACCAAAATTCTCCCTGCCTGCTTTTCTTCCTGGATTTTGGAGTTCTGAATTACCTGTTCTTGTTTCCAAAATGGAACCAATCCATCAGGGATTTTTGATTGTTTACTGTCATCATCATCACCATCATCCAATTTTTGCACAGTTTCCTGCAGCTTTCTGTTCCTTTCATTTATTTACATCTTTCCCCTTCCTCCGCAAGTGCACAATGATAAAACACTGCAAAAATAGCAAAATTTATGGACAAATCTTTCTATTTCAGTTTGTCTCGGTTTCTCACTTTTCCAGTCTTACAATCAGTTCTCCACCTATTCACATCACTTTGCAATAATAATAAACGTTCATATGAAAAATCACCAGCATTTTAGTGTACATTTCTCCTAATAAGGCACATGTTTACATGCAGTTTTACCTAATATGTACATTTCTGTAAAGCAAGTTTTCCTAGAATACATTTTTGTATCTTTTCACCAGTACATGCATTTTTATGTACACTTCGCCCCAGCGTATTCACATTACTTAGCTGAAGAACTGCATTGCAGAATTTGGAGGGGTGTGAATCTTGAAGGATGGCTGTGTTTTGGTTCTTGTAATGTTTTGGGAAGTGTGGGTCTTGGTAGTTTGATCCCATCCCTAATCAGCAGCCAGTCTGTCCGGCTGCAACAGAAAGAGAGATGGGCCAGCAGACTTAGCTGAGACACCAACTGCCTTTGACTTCTCCCTTCATTGTCATCTCTTTCAGCTGATGGGCAGCTAGGCAAATTTATACCCTGAACCTTATGGTCTTATACCTTTTAGATGACCATGTGTACTGATGACCATGTGTATTTAGATGTGACCATGCTCTCTTTTGACTGAAGTGCATCATAGAGAAACAGATAACATATATGGGAGAATGGACTGTGAAAACAGTGCTTGCTTTCTGAGAGTTCCTGACAGAGTGGTGAGAGAAGGGGTTGGCTGTGTGTCCTGGAGTATTTCCACATAGAAAGCCCTTGCCTTTATCTCCATGTCTTCTCCTCAGAAAAGTCTGAGTCTAATCTGCCTGTGGAATTTTTCACACTACTCTGATAATGTTGATATTTACCATGTCTTGGAGATGGACTGACAGTGTCAGAGGCATGTTCTCTCTCCCACTCTGATTTTATATCTGTTGCCTTCTAAAACCCCAAATCACCAGCTTCCCAACCCACACACCTAGTGCTTGGATCCTATTGCAGCTCTCAGTTCCTTCTAAACCCTCTAACACTCCTTCACAGCTGCCACCATACACCCTCCCACATCAAACATCTGCATTATGCAAGTCACTGCAGGCCGGCACTACCCATTCCATGCCCTTCCCCCTTGGATGCAATTATGGGTAAATTGCCAGAGGTACCACTGTATGGGAAAGTTTTTTTTTTTAAAAAAAATGTTTTATATATGCTGGAAGCTGCCCAGAGTTCTGGGGCAACCCAATAAGATGTGTGGGGTATAAATAGTAAAATTATTGTTATGTAATAGGATGTTCCTGTTTTCATCGGAGGGATGCGGGTGGCGCTGTGGGTTAAACCACAGAGCCTAGGACTTGCCGATCAGAAGATCGGCGGTTCGAATCCCCGCGACGGGGTGAGCTCCCGTTGCTCAGTCCCTGCTCCTGCCAACCTAGCAGTTCAAAAGCACCTCAAAGTGCAAGTAGATAAATAGGTACCTCTCCAGCAGGAAGGTAAACGGTGTTTCCGTGCGCTGCTCTGGTTTGCCAGAAGCGGCTTAGTCATGCTGGCCATATGACCTGGAAGCTGTACGCCGGCTCCCTCGGCCAATAAAGCAAGATGAGCGCCGCAACCCCAGAGTTGACTGGACCTGATGGTCAGGGGTACTTTTACTTTTGCCTATTTTCATCGGAGAAAATGTTGGAGCGTATGTGAGCAACACAAAGCACTCTCGTCTTCTCCAGTTTCCAGCAATGAGTATTCAGAAGTATTGCTGCCTCCCCTGTGAAGGCAGAGCATAGACATCTGAGTAGGAATTAATCACATACAACTCATTATTTTCAGTGTTATTGGGATTATGGCTTTGTGTTTTTATTATTACATCTCATTGTGAAGTATGTGGGGATTGCTTAATTTTGTTGACTATTTAATGAGCTTAATTTTGTTGACTATTTACTGAGCTATCTTCATTAGTTTGTTTATGACTATTTACATTGTGCTATCTTTTGTGATTTTATTTGGGGAGGGGATGTTGCAGCAACCTTCAGCATGTTTCAACTATGGGAAGGTGGCATACAAGGAAATGATAATGGTGATGATGGGAGAAGTGAAATCTAGGGTAGCTGCCATCTTGAGATGCTGTACAAAGAGTTGAACCGTTCTGCAGCCACGTAGGTGCTGCATTGGTGATGGGGAGGTGCATCTGGTAGCTAGGGAGTGCTTTGCTAAGCATGACAAAGTGGATGAAATTAGGAGGGAAAGTGCTGCTAGTGTTCTAAAGACTGGGAACTCTTGAGCAGTTCCACACAATTATCAGCATGCCGTAGGTCTAGCGAAGGCAATTTGTGTTACAGCTAGCAAAGTGGTCAGTTGCAAGGAAGCCTAAATCTACCCCTTTTAGATTTCCAGTTACAAGTGGAAAGGCAAGCTGATATTTATATGCCTTCTTTGGCAATTGCTACCTGACTTTCAAAAGACATTAAAAAATGCTTCCTTGTCCCTTGGTCCCCAAAAGAAGCAGAGATATTCTGCCAGCCACCAATTTATGTCATGGCATCTCACGATTCAAGAAAAAGAAAATATATAACACCATGTAACACCAGATATAGACTGGACTTGATAAGATATTAGCACTAGCTTGCAAGGGGAATAGCTTATTCCAGCAAGTCATATTAACAAAATAGGCACACTATTTCTTTTTATCCAGCCTTTCCACCAGATCCACAGCAAAATGTATGCAGATTTATACAGCACAGTGCATGAAAAATACTCTGGAGGAAGGGGACAAAATAGACATTAATCAGATATTAAAGGACTAACATGCCAGAAGGAAATGTACATGTGAATGCTGTCAGGGTTTTTTTTTTAATGCAACTTTTCTGCATTGCTTGATTGGGTGTAGAAATATAATGTATTCCATTGCAAAATTGCCACAAATTAGCAAATGGATACAAACTAGCCATGATATACTTAATCTGAATTGCTTAAATGAGGGAGGGTGTTTAAAATATATCTGACAGTCTGTAGAGCTGAACTAGTGTTTGGGGATTGGCTTGGCTAGTCTCTCTCCCCCCCCCCCATTGGGTTTGGATCAATCCGATTAGGTTTCATCATGGCCCTAATTCAGGTGAAAGGGAACGATGCCAGGGTGAGCACAATGAGGAATTGGTCAATGGTCAGCGAAAGAGGTTTGGGCGTATCTTTTTCCTCTTTCGGTGCTTTCTCATTTATTTGAAAATTTTGGACTGTTTACGGTAATTTCTCATTGTGTTCCTTGTAATTTCCAGATATCAGAAATAAGCTGATATGATTAGTCAAGAACAGAGCTGGCTTAGTGC